AAAAAATCAACAGAACACCTCAAAGGTCATGCTTTTTGAAAGATCTTCTCCCAGTGGCGTTCAGAGCTGTAATACGAGTTTCATGGCGAATCATACTGAATGATCATGCTATCAAACGTCAAAGTTCGATGTTTCGAGTAGCAAAACTGCTAGCAGGAGCATGTAGAGGCATAATAATTACTTGGAGCACCTAGCTAGCAATAGCAAGAAGGAAACCACTGGGGTTTTGAAGCAAGCCTCACATCGGCTTGCGACCAGAGAAGTCTTGGAAGCCTTCGCATGGTCAAAGCGATGCGCGCGAAGGATATCAGGTGGGATATGAGAAAAACAAAATGAAGTAGTAACAAGTGCCACGCTACTAGTAACAAGTGCCTTACTAGTAGTAACAAGAAGCTAGTAGAAACAAGTGCCTTACTACTAGGAGCAAGGACGCTACTAGGATGTAAGGAACATATAAGTTTGGTCTAGTGGCTACGACACATCCCTCTGCGGTTACACCTCGGGTGCAACGCTAGCTGGACACGCGGGCCACTACCCCAACTCTGCAGTTGAGGGGATGAGCTAGGGTGTGGACCATTAAACAAATATATATATACAGTATATACAAGCCGTCGACATAGTGTATCATGTATTCTTCAATCGGCCATGACTTTCCAGTTTTCAGACCCTACAGTTGAAACAGTAGCAAGGACGCTATTAGGTGGAGGCCATCGCAAGTAGGTTTCAGGCCATCGCTACTAGTAACTAAGAAGCTAAACTAAGAAGCTACTAGTAGGTCCTTCGTATGAGCGGACTTCTTCGCAGTTGCCTTCGCCTTCCAAGGATGGACGACAATTACGAAAACCATGAGATCAACTTAACTACCCATCGGGTGACGCCGGACAATGTCGTTGAGCTTTTGCAGAACTACTCCACCCCATTGGACTTTGATGTTCTCTCGCTGGACTGTCTTTAAAGTTCGCAAGCTCAGCCTGTGCTTTTTGTCAATCAGCATACAGTAGCATGGGAATGGTTTGTGGCAGGACACTGATGGAAACCAATGGCTACTTTGGATGAAACTGAGCACAAGTGGCTTTCGTCCACGAATTGTACCTTGCTCCTTTGAGGTTCATCTACCCTTTCTTGATGCAAACACCCCCACCGGTCAGGCACTAGCGGCACTAGTACTTCAAAGTGTCGACCTTGAGGTAGTCATTGAGTACGGGGAGGATCTTCCATATGATCAAGATGTTGCAGTGAGATTTTCGAACATTCCGATTCATCAGCTTTGCGACTTGGTTCGAGGAGCGTTTAGCATTTGTTATTCTTTCTGGCCTAAGTCTACCTAAGTCTACCATTAGCGTATGCTATGCTAGAGCTAGCGGGGGACGCAGGGAAAGATAACTCCAACAGCTGGGCATGAATTTGCTGATTGCGCATTGGCAACCTTTTGCATTTGTCAGCAAACTTACGACCTTTGCACGTTTATCGACAACTCGTGTGTGTGTGTGTGTCTGTTTGTTAGACACTGCTGTCTTCTAAAAAGTAAACCTGTTCAATGAGCCATGTGTGCATGTTAACACAGCAATACGTCAGTGGGACACATGTGCCAACACATGTGCAAGCAGAATAGCACCTCAACAAGCAAGAACCCAGGAACATCTTCCGGGCGTGGGCTTCGGAATCCCACAGCACGATTTGCGCATCTCAGCGTGACAATGTCTTAGTAGCTGGTAGCTGTTAGTGTGACCCATGCCAGTATGACAATATGTCGGCATGACAGCCTGGGAACTTGTCAGTGCAACATCACTCCAGCATATTAGTGTAACAAAGAAACCTCGTCAGCGCGTCTACACGTTTGCGCGAAGGCATTCTAATATACACGACAAAGCATCATGATCATGATACCATTTATCGGCATGGCAACACCTTAGTGTGCTGGCAGTTTGGCAAAAACGCATGGTGGCCTGACGGCATGCCAACATGTCAGCGCAACAACAGGCCAACCTCGTGACGTGTCAGCAAAAACGCTCATAGCGGCATCTCATCGTATCTGCAAAGCACTCCGGAACTTGAAGGAAGCTGCTCCCAAACTCCAGAACCTCCTCCGGAGCCTGCTCCGGAACCTGCTCCGGGATCCGGCTCGAGCAGGATCTGCTCCAAAGTCTTCACTGTGGCTGAAGACCACTAGCTTCGCTGTTGGGGAAAAAAGACGAGGTTGCATGCAATCGGCAATTCAAAATGCATTTGATGGGTAGACACTGAGGCTTGGTGAACCTCGGACGAGCACCTGCATTATTTGCTGCAAGCTTGACTGCAATGCGAAATTTGGGACGTACGTTGGGATATGTCTTGGTGCACCTGGCGGCCGTGGACCGACAAACGAAAGAAATCACACTTGCACATGTATTGGTCATTTTCGCTACTAGGTTGGAGGCCATCGTTAGTAGGTTCCTTAACGTATTTGTCTATATATTTGTTTTTTCGATTGGAGGCCAAGGTGTTTTCTTTTGTTCTGCAGACCTATCATCATTACTTTTACAGTGTGGTTTAGTGGCTATGACACATCCCTCGTGTGTCAGACCCGGGTTTAATCCCCGAGTGCAACACTGGGTGGACAGGCGGGCCACCACCCCACCCCTGCAGTTGACAGAGGGGCTCAGCTAGGGTGTGGACCGTTGAAACACAACACTTTGTTTGTTCCTTCCTTCCTTCCTTCCTTCCTTTCTTCCTTCCTTCCTTTCTTCCTTTCTTCCTTCCTTCCTTTCTTCCTTCCTTTCTTCCTTCCTTTCTTCCTTCCTTCCTTTCTTCCTTCCTTCCTTCCCTCCCCACTTCATGATTTGCTTTGACAAGTGCCTGACTATTTGCTTCGGTGTGATGAATTAAGTGGAACCAGAAACCATGACTGATTGAGTTGCTCAAAAGTCTGAGACTGAATGACATGCTTTTCTCCAGGATCTAACCTTTGTGAGATCCGACCTGCTGGCCTCAAGCAATCTCAGATTCCCTGCTCAGGAGACGAGCTGATGAATTCCACTTTGAGGTTCGTTATTTTTTGCTCATAGAATCTCATAGACTCATAGCCCCACTTATGAGACTGCAGGGCATGCCATTTGTGGGCGCAGAAATGCGCATCAGACCCTTAAAGCTGTGGCCCAGCCTCCGCTTGAGCTTTGTGGCCTAAAAGTCGCTGGTTTTGTGGCGATTCAGAGTAGCTTCTTGTTACTAGAAGCAAGAATGCTCCTAGTAGCGATGCCAGGAGCCCCCAGTAGCGTCCTTGCTCCTAGTAGTATGGCCAGGAGCCTCTAGTAGCGCCCTTGCTCCTAGTAGCGATGCACGTTGTTCCTAGTAGCGATGCACTTTGTTCCTAGTAGCTTGCTTCTTCTTTTGAGTTTTGGAAAGGATTTTGTTCCTTCCAAGCTCCGGATTCCATTCGGAAGCAGATGGAACATTCCTTTCTTTGTGGTGGGGAATGGATGCCATATGCTTGGGTCATGTTCATCCCGATGTGGGTCATTTCACGTAAGTGGCTCAAAATTGCATAGGGTTAAACATGCACGACACATTCTGTTCTGTCAAGGACGATCCGGCTGGACTATGTGCACTTGCTCGATATCAGGCCTGTCCTGTCGATCGACCCTTTGAAACCACTGCAGTAGTAGCTTCTTTGTTACTAGTAGTAAGGCACTTGTTACTAGAAGCGATGCACTTGTTCCTAGTAGCT